TACAGAGCACTTGAGCACAAGTGTAATTGTGGATTTACAAATGACGCATTACCATAAACTTTTTATAACTGAGAATTTTCACTTCCTATGTAATCTGAAATCCTACTTGGTCACAATCAAGATGCTGTTAAGGGCGTAAAAATCTTTAAATCTTTAAAGTGTTTGTAATAGTCATTTTCATCAACATGATCAATGCTTATTAAGCTTTCCATTGATACACTCTTACAAAATTCAAACAATCTGTGTTTCACTGAAACATAGAATTCTAACTTCAAGGTGAAGTATTTAAGGTGGTACCAAACACCTTGACTAAAATTAATTTGGTCGTTTAATTTTCATAAAAATTTGACAAAATATTTATTTGACCCTCTGACAAAAATATAAAAATTTCAAAAAACTTGAACCACACAATTTATCAGAAAAATTTCATTGGATATATAGCAGTTTGACAAACACTAATTTTGATCATTGAGAAGCTTAATATTTCCTTAACAATAGAACATGATTAAAACGTTCAGCTGATTTTTACAGAGTTATCTCCCTGTAGTGTTCTGTATCACCTTAATGTAAGGTATAACACAAAACAATGTATGTGCTCCTTATGTGGAGCAGGATCTGCTTACCCTTCCAGAGCACATGAGATCACCCCCAGTTTTTGGTGGGGTTCGTGTTGCTTAGTCTTTAGTTTTCTATGTTGTGTTTTGTGTACTATTATTTGTCTGTTTGTCTTCTTATATTTCAGCCATGGCGTTGTCAGTTTATTTTCGATCTATGAGTTTGACTGTCCCTCTGGTATCTTTCGCCCCTCTTTTATCAAACTGACAATGACCTGACTTGGGACAGGCACAAACAAGAGGCTGTCAAAATAACAGCAATCAGGGTTTATATTACATTTATTAGTGTCATTGCTATAGCAATGAGGGGCCATAACTCTTGAATGCAATCGTGAACATACTCAATATCTAACTTGACCTAAATTTTGTGACAACATTTCAATGAAAATAACACTTTTTAAATCTTATGTTTACCAAGTGCATAATTTCTTGATTTACATTCATGAAATTTTAAAGGCATTAGTTGAACAGTTCTAAAGATAATTTTATAAAAAGCATATATTGCACGGTTCATAAGTTATTGCACTGAAACAATTGGAGCCAACAGACTGCCCTCTTTCTGCCCCTTTCAATAACTGGAACTGTGTTAAAATAGACTGTTAGAAATTTTATACTAGTTTTTTGCACTCCATGCTCTATCTTTTATCTTTATCAGTGGCACAACAAAGAGTACATATCATATATGGTAAACAGTTTTACTTAATTTATAACAAATATAAGGATTTAATGTGGAAGTATGATTCGACCTACATGAACCCAATAAAAAGTAGTAAATGGATTTCATTATTGGTTGCTGTTAATTTGACTTATACCGCTATCTTCTTTAATCTAATATTCATATTCCATCAATATCCCTTATATCTATAATAAACCTTAGTGAATTTATGAATTCTGTATTCATATAATAAGTTTTTTAAATAGAATTTTGTATATAGATAATTCTGTTATTTTTCACATTTGAGTTATATTATTTGAGCATGTACAGATAATGTTTGTTAGTCCAATTGTTTGTTTGTTGGGTGAACAATAATTTCTTATTGTGGTTATTATCATTAAACAGTCAACACTTTTGTTACTTAAGGATGTACTTAGAATTTGAAATTGATATTATCAGTCAGAAGAGCATTAGATACAGAACAAAATAAGCTAAAAATATTGATAGGATATGGAACTCCTTTTTGAAATATTTGATTTTTTTATAAATGGCGGGAAAAGGCTAACTCTGACTTTTACCTTATATTTAGCATTGGCTTTAGTAGGGTCTCATATCATAAGAAAAAAAATTCTAGAATCTGCTTTAATTTTGGTAAATGACCTTTTATGAGCTATTAAAGTCTTATATGAAAAGAAAAGTGGGTGATATGGGGGAAAATATTTTACCCTGTATCGTAGGAAAAAACCCAAGCAGTCCGAACATCTGACAAAAATTCATAATCCTCACCCCAGTACATCCTTAATTCATGATTTGATTGGCTAATTATTTTTTTTAACTTTTACAATAAATAGTAAGGAAAGGTGGCATTGATTTCATGATCCACCTAACAAACAAACTAAAATTCAAAAACTTTAATATATAAGCTGTTGAATTTTGGATAATCATGTCTAATTTGCAATAATAAATGCTCGCAATAATTTCTGATTTTACAGTATTGGAAAATGTTTGCATGTGTCGATCAAAATTGCTGTGTTCATTGATAAGTCATCTTATGGAAAATTTACCCTATGTTAACATGTCACGGTCTCTATAATGCATTTTACAAGGGTATCAAATTTTACAATGAACAGGGCAAATAATTAACTGTTCTTTCCAAGGACCAAACTGGGAACAATATGTGATGCAAAAAGAACCCAAAATAAGTTAAATGTTCAAAGTTTTATTTGTACATAATTGTATATTATTTTGTATTTCCTTAAGGGTATATTATGACTATTAGATGTGTACTACAAAGAGCTGCATTTCAAATGCATCATTTCATTAAGGGCTGTACCAGTAATTAATGTAGGGTTGGAAGGCTCTTTTCAATTCAGTCCACCATGCATAAAATTTAATTGGTTATTTCATATTAATTGTTTTTACTATTAGGAGCACACAAGCTACCAACATTTTGACATATTGATTTACTTAAATAGTTTTTTACATGATTGATGATTCTTTCATTTGTAATTGAATGTAAAATTTTTAAGGGTTATAAGTGAGTTAAAGCATTATATCAGACAAAAGCAATGTTCCTTATGGGATATTTCCTGTTTTTGAGGTTGACGAGTTGACTCCTATGATTTGTAGTTTCATAAAGGTTTAAAACTGTTGACTGAAAATGTAGGGTTGGAAGGCTCTTTTCAATTCAGTCCACCATGCATAAAATTTAATTGGTTATTTCATATTAATTGTTTTTACTATTAGGAGCACACAAGCTACCAACATTTTGACATATTGATTTACTTAAATAGTTTTTTACATGATTGATGATTCTTTCATTTGTAATTGAATGTAAAATTTTTAAGGGTTATAAGTGAGTTAAAGCATTATATCAGACAAAAGCAATGTTCCTTATGGGATATTTCCTGTTTTTGAGGTTGACGAGTTGACTCCTATGATTTGTAGTTTCATAAAGGTTTAAAACTGTTGACTGAAAGATAATTTGTTAATAGCACAAAGATCAAACCAGAATTTTACAACTTTTATCATGTGTCTTGTTTGAAATATTCCTTCACATTGTTGTTTGGTTGTGCTGGAGAACATGGGCAGATCAACCAACCATTTAGGCCATTTTTCCAAAAATCTTAATTGCCATTTTGTATATTATTGTTGCCATGTATAAGAGACAAAAGTCTATTTCCAAACTACTGTTTCAGAATCTTACGAATTCTGGGTAATATTTTCACAGGGGTACAACAAAACGTTGTGATTGGCTTACAACGTCCTAAAAACAATGGGATTCGACCAATGACGTGACTTTATTTTCAATTTTGGGTACAAACAATGATATCAACCACAATCCTTTAGATTCTGGAACAGCAAATTACCAACTTTGTTTTTCAACTTTAAAAATGTGCAAAGGGAAATAACTCCTTGATAAGACAAACTGTATCCCTGTCTTTACAAAGACAGTGGAATGAGCATGGCGAATTTTGGAGAATCTGACAGTGGTTTTTACCTTGAAGGTACATTTATATACATATGGTAAAAATATACAGTAGGTGATTAAGCAATGAAAATTCATAAAAGCTGATGGACATCAAAACATGCTCTTTCCATAAGGTTTGTATAGGCAGGGATACAGTTTGTCCTATCTAAGAGTTGCTTCTCTTTGCTGAAAAAATCAAAATTGGAAATGGGGACTAATGTGATGTTAATTTTCACTGACTATTTGTAAGTAACTGTTAATTGTTAAATACTGAATGCTAATATGAATAAACATTGTATATAGAACTTTGCATCTATTTAATTATAAATTCTAATATGACGTGCTTCTTTCGCTTTGTAAACTGGGACTATTATACTAACGGGACTGGAAACTGATCGATCTGTTGAGATTTCATTGCCCCGATAGCGGATTATTGATTTTTTGTTTTGATTGACAGCTTATCGTGTCACGTAGTAAATTAGCATTCGGTACATGAATGTAAACAATATATTTCGGCAAACAGTCAGCATATATATAATACTGTTAAAATTGGTGGATTTGAAATAAAAAAATAATTATTAAATTAATTAGTTTAAATGCAAAAAATATATATTGTTTATGAAAAATTATTAATAAGTAGTCAATATATTAGTGTTGAAAAAAAACTCAGATATAGTCGAAATGCCGGCGCTTAAATTTACTTGACCGCTAAGAAAACAATGTGTCAAAGGTTAACAGATCATAATTAATCCTGATAAAAACAATAAGTGTTCAATAAAAACAATGTTTACAATTTCAGTTCATAACTAATTCATATAACAAAAGTTACCCGGGTCAAATAAAGATATAGCCACATTGTTCTGAACTTTCGTGAACTTCGTGTTTACACCAAAATTTCAATATGGCTGTGAACGGGCCTACTTTTGTTGTTCTAATTATGGAACCTAGTGTACATATTTTCACGAAGTCAAATGCTAATGCCACCAGAAGACCATTACTAAGCAAAATTAACCCTGATTATAATAAAAATATTGTACACATAAAAAGGAGTAGGTAATTTTATAGGAACAGTATAATTTATTTGAGCCGTGCATGTGGGTTCCGATTGTAATGAGAAAGAGATTTATATTCCACTTTTTATTTTAAAAAGTGACAATAAAAATAGGCAAATCCAAACTATAACCTAAAATATGATTTTACAACAAACTGAACTTGCGTATCTCTTTTCAATCAACAGTTATAAGAAATTTTATGAATCATCTATACTTTTTTCCACATCGTCCCCACGCTATTTTCATCCTGAAAATTTCAATCTTCATGTGTCATTTTTTACACTTAAGACGGGATTTAGTGATTAATAACAACTGTCAAAGATCGATATATCTTTTATCATTATAGTGATCATGTTTAAATTAAGGATTATCATTTCGAATAACTATAAAATAAAATAAAATGCTTCGCTGGGCGCAGCTTGATACGACCGCAGAGGTCGAACCCTGAACAGTTGGGGCAAGTATGGACACAACATTCAAGCTTGATACAGCTCTGAATTTGGATTGTGATTAAATATTTGACACAGCATAGGTTTCTGACACAGAATGAATGTGGTTTAAGAACTTAAAATTTTTTAATTTACCTATTATGGTCCAATGTCCAAAATCAAAATACATGGTTAGATTCAGCATATCAAAGAACCCCATATATTCAATTTTTGTTGAAATCAAACAAAGTTTAATTTTGGATCCCAACTTGGACAAACTTGAAAACTGGTCCCATAATCAAAAATCTAAACACATGTTTAGATTCAGCATATCAAAGTACCCCAAGAATTCAATTTTTGTTAAAATCAAACTAAGTTTAATTTTGGACCCTTTGGACCTTAATGTAGACCAATTAAAAAAAACGGGACCCAAAATTAAAAATCTAAAAACACGGTTAGATTTGGCATATCAAAGAACCCCAATAATTCAATTTTTGATGAAATCAAACAAAGTTTAATTTTGGACCCTTTTGACCTCAATATGAACCAATTTGATAGCAGGCCCACAAATAAAAAATCTAAATACATGGTAAGATTCAGCATATCAAAGAACCCCATATATTCAATTTTTGTTGAAATCAAACAAAGTTTAATTTTGGACCCCAATTTGGACCAACTTGAAAACTGGGCCAAAAATCTAAAATCTAAATACATGTTTAGATTCAGCATATCAAAGAACCCCATATATTCAATTTTTGTTGAAATCAAACAAAATTTAATTTTGGACCCCAACTTGGACCAACTTGAAAACTGGTCCCATAATCAAAAATCTAAACACATGTTTAGATTCAGCATATCAAAGAACCCCAAAAATTCAATTTTTGTTAAAATCAAACTAAGTTTAATTTTGGACCCTTTGGACCTTAATGTAGACCAATTCAAAAAACGGGACCCAAAATTAACAATCTAAAAACACGGTTAGATTTGGCATATCAAAGAACCCCAATAATTTAATTTTTGATGAAATCAAACAAAGTTTAATTTTGGACCCTTTTGACCTCAATATGAACCAATTTGATAGCGGGTCCACAAATAAAAAATCTCAATACATGGTAAGATTCAGCATATCAAAGAACCCCATATATTCAATTTTTGTTGAAATCAAACAAAGTTTAATTTTGGACCCCAATTTGGACCAACTTGAAAACTGGGCCAAAAATCTACAATCTAAATACATGTTTAGATACAGCATATCAAAGAACCCCATATATTCAATTTTTGTTGAAATCAAACAAAGTTTAATTTTGGACCCCAACTTGGACCAACTTGAAAACTGGGCCCATAATCAAAAATCTAAACACATGTTTAGATTCAGCATATCAAAGAACCCCAAGAATTCAATTTTTGTTAAAATCAAACTAAGTTTAATTTTGGACCCTTTTGACCTTAATGTAGACCAATTTAAAAAACGGGACCCAAAATTAAAAATCTAAATACACAGTTAGATTTGGCATATCAAAGAACCCCAATAATTCAATTTTTGATGTAATCAAACAAAGTTTAATTTTGGACCCTTTTGACCTCAATATGAACCAATCTGATAGCAGGCCCACAAATAAAAAATCTAAATACATGGTAAGATTCAGCATATCAAAGAACCCCATATATTCAATTTTTGTTGAAATCAAACAAAGTTTAATTTTGGACCCCAACTTGGACCAACTCGAAAACTGGTCCCATAATCAAAAATCTAAACACATGTTTAGATTCAGCATATCAAAGAACCCCAAAAATTCAATTTTTGTTAAAATCAAACTAAGTTTAATTTTGGACCCTTTGGACCTTAATGTAGACCAATTCAAAAAACTGGGCCCAAAATTAAATATCTAAAAACACGGTTAGATTTGGCATATCAAAGAACCCCAATAATTCAATTTTTGATGAAATCAAACAAAGTTTAATTTTGGACCCTTTTGACCTCAATATGAACCAATTTGATAGCGGGGTCCACAAATAAAAAATCTAAATACATGGTTAGATGCAGCATATCAAAGAACCCCATATATTCAATTTTTGTTGAAATCAAACAAAGTTTAATTTTGGACCCCAATTTGGACCAACTTTCATTGAAAACTGGACCAAAAATCAAAAATCTAAATTCATGTTTAGATTCAGCATATCAAAGAACCCCATATATTCAATTTTTGTTAAAATCAAACAAAGTTTAATTTTGGACCCTTTGGACCTTAATGTAGACCAATTTGAAAACTGGACCCAAAATTAAAAATCTAAATACACGGTTAGATTCGGCATAACAAATAAATAAATGTGGTCAAAGATTTTACAAATCTAATGCGCCATACTGGTCTTCCTTTAAAATATGCATTTCTTTAAACATAATTTAAAAGCAGTGTAAGGGAAGTAACCAAAACGTTGTATTTGGATTACCTCCCTTACACTGTTTTAAATTATCTTAATTGTTCATTAACCATTACTTTATACATAATTCAAAAGCAGTGTAAGGGAGATAATTTCAATGATGTATTTGATTTATCTCCCTTACACTGCTTTAAATTATGTTTTGTACTAAAGTATTTGTCCATTAATGAGGACAACCTTGTTTTTCCCCCTTTTTTGCCCCTAATTCTTAAACGGTTTGAGCAATAACCCCCCAAAGCAAATCCTAACCATCCCTTTGTGGTATGGAAACTTGTAGTATAATTTCAGAGAGATCCATACACCGTTCCACAGTTATTGTCTGGAATCTAGAAAATGCTTATTTTTTGGCCCCTTTTTGGCCCCTAATTCCTTAACTGTTGGTACCATAACCCCCAAAATCAATCCCCACCTTCCTTTTGTGGTATTGAACCTTATGGTAAAATTTCATAGAGATCCATTCACTTAAACTAAAGTTAGAGTGCGAAAACTAATGCGTCTTCGGACGCCGACACCGGACGACGACGACGACGCCAACATCATACCAATATACGACCACAAAAAATTTTTTGCGGACGTATAAAAACAAATTACCAAAATTATAAGATCAAGGCACGCTGTCACTGTCAAAACAATATGGTGTATCTATAAATAGTGCAGGTAAAGTCTCGTTCTAACAACCGTGATGTTGATATTATTACACTGATTGGTGTAACGGTTTCCAGTCCCGTTAGTATAATAGTCCCAGTTGTAAACAACACCGTGATAAAATTCTCGATATATCTATACTTAGCGCAGACTCAGAGATATACATAATAATGGATGTTACAATATACCTCCCTCGTAAATCCACATGTATTGGAACCTATTTGCAAATGCTATGCGATTTTATTGTTTTAAAAATTGCAATTGAAAAAAGACTACAGAACTTTTATTCTTATTCGGATGCATAACAAAAAGAATAAATGCACAAGAGCTCGGAGAAATCTACAAAATCAAAATAAAATAAAATTCCGCGAAAGTCCATCAATGCTTTTGGCGCATTTAAGTCATTTCAAAACATGACGTCATACAAATCAAAATGCTAAAGCTGAAGGTTTTTCCATTACATGAACCATCGAAATTCGTAAAATATTACATTAAAATGGATTTTTTAGGTAGGTGTTGTTTTATTTTCTATTTTATTGCATTATTTGCATATTTACTGATTTCAGCAAGTCAACATGGTGGCTCCTTAGTTATGAACTGTCAACTTTTGATTTGACGGTAGCTTACGAGAAAAACATGTAAATTAAAAAATGTTGGGTTTGAGAATTAAAAGAATTAAGCATATTTTTTCTAGCGGTTGTTTACGAAATAATTCATGCAAGCTACAGATTTATTAGAATGTTTTAGCTTTATCTAACAGGGAGTAAAAAAGCACAGCCACACACACGGCATACCCACCCTCGCTTTAGTTTTTAAATGACCGTAATTGTCCTATTAGAATCGAAATAATTCATGGAAACCATAACGCTCAGGATAAAATTCGAATATGACGGCCCAGGCCATGTGTAAATTTCCAACAAATCTATGGCTTTCATGAATTATTTCTTAAATAATAGTTTATAAGGGTGAACAGTACTATATAAAAGAAAGAAATGTGGTATGATTGCCATTGAAACAACTTTCCAACAGAGTCTAAATGACATTGATTAAAGAAATTATAGGTCATTGTACAGACTTCAACAATGAGGAAAACCCATATTGTATTCAAGTCAGTTATAAAAGACCCAGACATTAATTACATGATGTGTAATAATTAAAAAAAAAAAAAAAACAATGACCTTATTACAAAACAATTAACCAAAACTACAGATATAAAAAAAAAACACCCAACAACAACCACTGAACTACAGGCTCTTGACTTGGGGCCAACACATTTAGAATGTGGTTGGGTTTAACATGTTTGTAAATGTTCAACACTTCCGTTCCCCTAACCTAGCTCCCTATTTTGGCATATTTAAAGTCAGACAATGATCAGGTTTACTATGACCCTTAGATATATCTGTACTATCCAAAAAAGTTCTTGGTATTCCCAAGATTACTTACAAATAACTTCAGTTCATATGGTCTTCAGTCAGGTGAGCAAATAGTAGCTCAAAAGGTCTTTGGAAGAGTTAAGCAAATGACAAAAGCTGAAATGTCTTTGGAGATCAGGAGAGTAAATAACATAAGGACCATAATAAGATATGTTAACGATTTCATTGACAAAAGTCAAAGGTTAGGGAGGTCTGGATTTTCTTTCTAAGTTGCATTCTGAAAAATATGTCTTCACTAAGTCCTGTTCAAGAATTGAACTTTTTACAGGAACTGCCGTAAATTTGCAATGTGTGATGAACAAATTCATGATGCTTCATCATGTTTCTGATTGATTCTGTTGCATATAAACGACTTTCAAATTCATGCTCTTTCCCAAAAATTTCATGTTATGTCATAACGCTAATGTTATTATGTCATAGTAAGATTGAATTAAGTCAACCTGTGTAACTCATTCATAAAAAATAACTAAATATATAGATGTAGTATGATTGCCAATGAGACAACTCTCCACGAGAGACCAAATGACACAAAATATAACAACTATAGGTAACCATATGGCCTTAAACAATGATCAAACGCAGCAATAAAAGGTCCCAAATGACAAATTAAAAAAAATTAAGTCCATAAACCCAATATATACCTTAAAATTGTAATAAATAAGTAAAACTGGTACAAAAAGTGTGAAGAATAGGTCATAATGACTCTATTTAAAGATTTGGTGACCTGCAATCATCAATGAATCTTGGTTTAAGGGTTTCATGACTTCAAACAGAACTTAGTCAACCTGACCTTCATTTCATTCCTCAAGGACTACAATTTAGATACATTATTAAATTTTTTTCTGAGGTTTGAAGTTCAGTGTTTTTAACCCTTATTTCAATTCGGTTTTACAGTGGTATTTTGCTGGTATTCAGGGTGGCATCAAAAAAGTTTGGTTTTACAGTGGTTTTTGCTGATATTTTATAGCCTTCAACAAGGTGGCATCATAAAATTTTTCTGTTATGACACAATTTCAGTTTTGTCATTTACAGAAAATGCTGCCCTTTTTTAATATTAAAGGGTTTTCAGAAATACTTTGAGCTTTTAACAGGACTATAATATATTCTAGTATAGACAGACTTGATTCTATTGGCAGTCACTTTTATTGGAGGAAGCTGGAGTGCCGGTTGAGAACCATGACCTTTAGCAGGAAAACTGACAATCCTAGTCAATAAAGATTGGAGTAGAACCACTACTGCCACATGCAGGGTTCAAGGTCACAACCTCAGTGTTGACAGGCTAGTGATACAGCAGATGGACTCCTTAGACCACTTGGCCATCAAGGCCCTTAAGTGTCCTAGAGACGAGTTGATAAAAGAAATAATAAATCAGTGCTACTGCAGAAAGAAGTAGAAGTAGCAAGTGTGGTACTTTTCCACAAAAAGAATTGAATTAAACGTTCCAATACCAATCTAAGTTAGCTTGGTATTTGCACAGACATATATACAGCACTGGCAAATTGACACATACATATACCAGAGAGCAAATTAAATAAATAAATTTCACCAAAGTAAACCTAATAAAATGCTTCGCTGGGGCGCAGCTTGATACGACCGCAGAGGTCGAACCCTGAACAGTTGGGGCAAGTATGGACACAACATTCAAGCTTGATACAGCTCTGAATTTGGATTGTTATTAAATATTTGACACAGCATAGGTTTCTGACACAGAAAGAATGTGGTCTAAGAACTTGAATTTTTTTAATTTACCTATTATGGTCCAATGTCCAAAATCAAAATACATGGTTAGATTCAGCATATCAAAGAACCTCATATATTCAATTTTTGTTGAAATCAAACAAAGTTTAATTTTGGACCCCAACTTGGACAAGCTTGAAAACTGGGCCCATAATCAAAAATCTAAACACATGCTTAGATTCAGCATATCAAAGAACCCCAAGAATTCAATTTTTGCTAAAATCAAACTAAGTTTAATTTTGGACCCTTTGGACCTTAATGTAGACCAATTTAAAAAATGGGACTTAAAATTAAAAATCTAAATACACGGTTAGATTTGTAATATCAAAGAACCCCAATAATTCAATTTTTGATGAAATCAAACAAAGTTTAATTTTGGACCCTTTTGACCTCAATATGAACCAATTTGATAAGCGGGGCCCACAAATAAAAAATCTAAATTTATGTTTAGATTCAGCATATCAAAGAACCCCATATATTCAATTTTTGTTGAAATCAAAAAAAGTTTAATTTTGGACCCTTTGGACCGCAATAAAGACCAATTTAAAAAAAGGGACCCAAATTAAACATCTAAAAACACGGTTAGATTTGGCATATCAAAGAACCCCAATAATTCAATTTTTGATGAAATCAAACAAAGTTTAATTTTGGACCCTTTTGACCTCAATATGAACCAATTTGATAGCAGGGCCTACAAATAAAAAATCTAAATACATGGTTAGATTCAGCATATCAAAGAACCTCATATATTCAATTTTTGTTGAAATCAAACAAAGTTTAATTTTGGACCCCAATTTGGACCAACTTGAAAACTGGGCCCATAATTAAAAATCTAAATACATGTTTAGATTCAGCATATCAGAGAACCCCATATATTCAATTTTTGTTGAAATCAAACAAAGTTTAAATACTGGACCCTATCTTGGACCAACTTGAAAACTGGGCCCATAATCAATAAAATGCTTCGCTGGGGCGCAGCTTGATACGACCGCAGAGGTCGAACCCTGAACAGTTGGGGCAAGTATGGACACAACATTCAAGCTTGATACAGCTCTGAATTTGGATTGTTATTAAATATTTGACACAGCATAGGTTTCTGACACAGAAAGAATGTGGTCTAAGAACTTGAATTTTTTTAATTTACCTATAATGGTCCAATGTCCAAAATCAAAATACATGGTTAGATTCAGCATATCAAAGAACCCCATATATTCAATTTTTGTTAAAATCAAACAAAGTTTAATTTTGGACCCCAACTTGGACAAACTTGAAAACTGGGCCCATAATCAAAAATCTAAACACATGTTTAGATTCAGCATATCAAAGAACCCCAAGAATTCAATTTTTGCTAAAATCAAACTAAGTTTAATTTTGGACCCTTTGGACCTTAATGTAGACCAATTTAAAAAACGGGACTTAAAATTAAAAATCTAAATACACGGTTAGATTTGGAATATCAAAGAACCCCAATAATTCAATTTTTGATGAAATCAAACAAAGTTTAATTTTGGACCCTTTTGACCTCAATATGAACCAATTTGATAGCGGGGCCCACAAATAAAAAATCTAAATTCATGGTTAGATTCAGCATATCAAAGAACCCCATATATTCAATTTTTGTTGAAATCAAAAAAAGTTTAATTTTGGACCCAAACTTGGACAAACTTGAAAACTGGGCCCATAATCAAAAATCTAAACACATGTTTAGATTCAGCATATCAAAGAACCCCAAGAATTCAATTTTAGTTAAAATCAAACTAAGTTTAATTTTGGACCCTTTGGACCTCAATGAAGACCAATTTAAAAAACGGGACCCAAATTAAAAATCTAAAAACACGGTTAGATTTGGCATATCAAAGAACCCCAATAATTCAATTTTTGATGAAATCAAACAAAGTTTAATTTTGGACCCTTTTGACCTCAATATGAACCAATTTGATAGCGGGGCCCACAAATAAAAAATCTAAATACATGGTTAGATTCAGCATATCAAAGAACCTCATATATACAATTTTTGTTGAAATCAAACAAAGTTTAATTTTGGACCCCAATTTGGACCAACTTGAAAACTGGGCCCATAATCAAAAATCTAAATACATGTTTAGATTCAGCATATCAAAGAACCCCATATATTCAATTTCTGTTGAAATCAAACAAAGTTTAAATACTGGACCCTATCTTGGACCAACTTGAAAACTGGGCCCATGATCAAAAATCTAAACACATGTTTAGATTCAGCATATCAAAGAACCCCAAGAATTCAATTTTTGTTAAAATCAAACTAAGTTTAATTTTGGACCCTTTGGACCTTAATGTAGACCAATTTAAAAAACAGGACCCAAAATTAAAAATCTAAATACTCGGTTAGATTTGGAATATCAAAGAACCCCAATAATTCAATTTTAGATGAAATCAAACACAGTTAAATTTTGGACCCTTTTGACCTCAATATGAACCAATTTGATAACGGGGTCCACAAAAAAAAAATCTTAATACATGGTTAGATTCAGCATATCAAAGAACCCCATATATTCAATTTTTGTTGAAATCAAACAAAGTTTAATTTTGGACCCCAATTTGGACCAACTTGAAAACTGGGCCAAAAATCAAAAATCTAAATACACGTTTAGATTCAGCATATCAAAGAACCACATATATTCAATTTTTGCTAAAATCAAACAAAGTTTAATTTTGGACCCTTTGGACCTTAATGTAGACCAATTTGAAAACTGGACCCAAAATTAAAAATCTAAATACACTGTTAGATTCGGCATAACAAATAAATAAATGTGATCAAAGATTTTACAAATCTAATGCGCCATACTGTGCAATTAAAGATTACTTCTTGAAATTTTTCAATATTTGAAATTTGAAAAAAAAAAATATTTGAAGAATAATTCTTTTTAATTTCTGAAATCTGAAATGAGAAAAAATTGACCCCCCACAATTTCTTTTTATCCCCCCCCTTTTTTTCCCCAAAAAAATTCTTTCCCTCAAGATATGGCCATAATCTCAATTCAAATTTCCAATGGAGTTGGCAACCATAATTACCCATTTAAATTTACCATAGTGCTAACTTAATCTATTTTATAATAGAATTAAAAATATAGTGTCAAATCTTTCATATGGATTTTTTTGTAAAAAAAAATGATGCAACATTTGCAGATATTTTTACTGGTCTTCCTTTATAAATATGCATTTCTTTAAACATAATTTAAAAGCAGTGTAAGGGAAGTAACCAAAACGTTGTATTTGGATTACCTCCCTTACACTGTTTTAAATTATCTTTATTGTTCATTAACCATTACTTTATACATAATTTAAAAGCAGTGTAAGGGAGATAATTTCAATGATGTATTTGATTTATCTCCCTTACACTGCTTTAAATTATGTTTTGTACTAAAGTATTTGTCCATTAACCAGGACAACCTTGTTTTTCCCCCTTTTTTGCACCTAATTCCTGAACGGTTTGAGCCATAACCCCCCAAAGCAAATCCTAACCATCCTTGGTGGTATGGAAACTTGTAGTATAATTTCAGAGAGATCCATACACCGTTCCACAGTTATTGTCTGGAAACTAGAAAATGCTTATTTTTGGCCCCTTTTTGGCCCCTAATTCCTTAACTGTTGGTACCATAACCCCCAAAATCAATCCCAACCTTCCTTTTGTGGTATTTAACCTTATGGTCAAATTTCAAAAAGATCCATTCACTTAAACTAAAGTTAGAGTGCGAAAACCAATGTGTCTTCGGACGACGACGCCGGACGACGACGACGACGACGCCAACATCATACCAATATACGACCACAAAATTTTTTTGCGGTCGTATAAAAAGTTTAAATGTCACTGCTCAAGTACTTATATAAATGAAAATTTTTATACATTAAATCTAAATTAAATAACTAATTGTCAAAATTGAAGGGTAGCTTGTCGTCATATCACCAAACAAGAATACATGCATTGTCAAGCTAAGTATACCAACACTTGTAATTCAAAGTACAGGAAAACAGGAAGTACGTGTCTGACAGATACAAAAAAGTGCTCCCACTTTACACTCATAAACCGCAAGATTTTGACGTAATATCAGTAGTACTTGAGAAATGTGTGATGAAATGTTTTTAGGTTCATTCAACAAATTGAAAGTGCTTACACAATACAACTAATCAAAGTCAAGCTGCTGACTAAATATAAAGTCATTCTATGCAGTAGTACCTGAGAAAGTGTGATGGAAATATGAGTGGGACAAATGGATTAATGGACAGAAGTACAGACACACAGACAAGGTCTCACTGAATGCAATGCAGCCTCACTGGCCTTGCTTTCATAAACATTTTGAGTATGATTATCATATCAGATTTAGTGTTTTGAGCACAAATTTCTTATTCCAAGTACCGAGTACAGTTTTATGACCAATAGCCTGGGTAGTGTGGGTATAAATTGTTAAGGGATGTTAAAGGTTTTCAATATACTTAACAATTGATCGATATAAGGGGGTTTGGGCATGTTTCAAATATCCCATCAGTCAAAGGATAAAAAAGTTGCGTTATGGACACATAACTGTATGAAAAAATTAGGTATTCTGCTCTTGAGGTAGAAGGTCAAGGTCTTATGACCCATTGCATTGGCATAATATTATTTGCATTTAGAAGATCTTGTCATGACAACCAAGAATATATATATGGTATTGAGGACAATTTACTTGTAATCAGAAAATGCATGATTACTGATTACATGTGATTATTCTGCAAAATATTATCGATTACAGCTTATTACGATTACCCAATGCCTGATTGAGGTGGACACACAAAAATTCAATATTTGACCTTCAAGGTCAAGGAGGAGACATATTTCTTGTCAGTTAAGATTGCTTTGAAAGCCCAATTAATTTCAGACAACAGTGTACCATAAGGTGTTTGTCATTAATTAATCACATAAATATTGTACAATAGATTTACCCATCATCATTTCCAATGGCAACCACTGAAAAGTCTGGACTCCAACTAATCTCACTTCTTACTGGTACCCTAGGCTGCAATATGAAAAAATAGAAGCCTGTAATACATGCACATGGTTAGGACTGTAGTAAATAATGAAGTGGCCACACAAAAAAGACTCCTTTAGTGGTGTTTGTTGGTTTGGTGTTTTGAAACGTATATAAAAACAGATGTCACTTGAAAAAGCAGTTTATAGAAAAATAAAAATAAAGTGCATTTTTGATCAAACACATTTCCAACGAAAATTCTATAAAATTTTCCTTTTTCCAACATGAACAAAACCTCAAATCTGGTTACGTGTCAATGGTATACCCATGCACATTTCAGATAAGGTTAACTCTAGGATACAATCACCTGCCCTGGAACAAGCTACAGTTCATATACAGCTGCAAAACTAGTTTTTAAAGGATTTTTTCAAGGCTTTTCTCCCTTTAAACCATGCAGATTTCCACAATATAATCAAAGTGTTATAGCGCTAGAAAAAGCATTTGCCGTATATATCTGACGAAAATGTCAAAATCTTTATCGTTTTGTTTAAACTGTTTCCATAAAAAAAATCAAACATCGTAAACCAGTCCAGTAATGATACATCTTAATACCAAAAATTACCATGTGGAAATATACACGACGCAAACACAGTAAGGTTTACCAATATGACACTCCGATTAAATTAACAAAAGTATTTTGATATTTAAACAAGCAAGAGAGCCCTTATATATATTTATTCTTTTAAAACAGCAAAATTAAATTCGTAAAAAACAAAATTAACAGTGTTGGTACGCTTTAAATTGGTTATAAGACGGATCTAGATTAGCCGATAGAGGGCGCTAAATTTTTAAGTGATAGGGTTAACTATTAAACTTCTATTTAAATATCTCATTTGAGGAATGCTTAATCAAATAAACTTAATTTTCAATACAAAAGTGGAGCAAACACATACTTTTACTCGATCTTGAAAGAACTGTAGAATGAAAACTGTGTGCACTCTATTTTGACGATAAACAAAATGCCCATACACGATAAAAGTAAAAGCAAATGCTTTTAAAAAAGAAGATGAGGTATGATTGCTTTTTGATCATAAAGCATGTAGTAATTGAAAGCTTTCTTAGTTTTTCCTGCAATTAAACAAACTAGAGGCTCTCAAGAGCCTGTGTCGCTCACCTGATTCTACTTTGGTTTTGGAAATCATGTAAAAATAGATTAAAATCATAACAGATACCCTAATAATGAGTGAGGCCAAATTTGGTTTAATATTGGTCCTGTAATTAAATAAAAAATCCTGGTGGCCACCTTGAACAGTAAATCGGCAACAAAGTAGCAACACTTAATCAGCACCTCATAAGAAACATTTATGCCATGTTTTGGTTTCATTCCATTCAGTGCACCTCTAGAAGAAGCATTTGTATGTATTTCCTTTAGGGTCTTATGTTAAAGGAAGTCCCCCCATTGGCGGCCATCATGGATGAAGGATCAGCTTCAAAGTAACAAAACTTAGTCAGCACCTCATAAGGAACATTCATGCCATGTTTGGTTTCAATCCATTCAGTATGTGGTTCTCTAAAAGAAGACATTTGTATGTATTGTCCATAGGGTCCTTTGTTAAACATTGTCCACATCTGGCAGCCATCATGGATGAAGGATCAGCTTCAAAGTAACAACACTTGGTCAGCACCTCAAAAGGAACATGCATGCTATGTTTGGTTTCATTCCATTCAATGGTTCTCTAAAAGAAAACATTTGTACGTATTTCTCATAGGGTCCTATGTTAAACTAAGTCAACGCTGGCGGCCATCTTAGATTATGGATCGGCTTCATAGTAACAACACTTGGTCAGCACCTCATAAGGAACATTCATGCCATGTTTGGTTTCATTGCATTCAGTGGTTCTCTAAAAGTAGACATTTGTATGTATTTCCCATAGGGTCCTATGTTAAACTAAGTCCCCCGCTGGCTGCCATCTTGGATGATGGATCAGCTTCAAAGTAACAACACTCTGTCAGCACCTCATAAGGAACATTCATGCCATGTTTGGTTTCATTCCATTCAGTGGTTCTCTAAAAGAAGACATTTGTATGTATTTCTCATAGGGTCCCATGTTAAACTAAGTCCCCTGCAAGCGGCCATCTTGGATTATGGATCGGCTTCAAAGTAACAACAATCGGTCAGCACCTCATAAGAAACATTCATGCCATGTTTGGTTTCATTCCATTCAGTGGTTCTCTAAAAAGAAGACATTTGTATGTGTTTCCCATAGGGTCCAATGTTAAACTAAGTCCCCTGCTGGCGGCCATCTTGGATTATGGATCAGCTTCATAGTAACAACACTTGGTCAGCATCTCATGAGGAACATTCATGCCATGTTTGGTTTCATTCCATTCAGTGGTTCTCTAAAAGAAAACATTTGTATGTATTTCCCATAGGGTCCCATGTTAAACTAAGTCCCCCGCTGGCGGCCATCTTGGATTATGGATCGGCTTCAATGTAACAACACTCGGTCAGCACCTCATAAAGAACATTCATACCATGTTTGGTTTCATTCCATTCAGTGGTTCTCTAAAAGAAGACATTTGTATGTATTTCCCTTAGGGTCCTATGTTAAACTAAGTCCCCCGCTGGCGGCCATTTTGGATTATGGATCGGCTTCAAAGTAACAACACTCGGTCAGCATCTCATAAGAAACATTCATGCCATGTTTGGTTTCATTCCATTCAGTGGTTCTCTAAGAGAAGACATTTGTATGTATTTCCCATAGGGTCCTATGTTAAACTAAGTCCCCCGCTGGCGGCCACCTTGGATGATGGATCGGCTTCAAAGTAACAACACTCGGTCAGTACCTCATAAGGAACATTCATGCCATGTTTGGTTTCATTCCATTCAGTGGTTCTCTAGAAGAAGTTCAAAATGTAAAAAGTTAACGACGACGACGGACGACGCCGGACGCCAAGTGATGTGAAAAGCTCACTTGGCCCTTCGGGCCAGGTGAGCTAAAAAAGTAGTGTATTTTTCTCCAAATACTGTGGATTCAATATTCGTTGGATATCAAATTTTCATGAATTTCAGGGGAAAAAGTGAACCATGAATTTTAATGTTCAACAAAGCCTAGTGAAGAAATATCCAACAAAGAATTAAACATACGTCATTTCCATTCTCAATTTTACATTTTCTAAAGGCTTTAGTGCACACATTGACAAAATCACAAAATCAAATATCCACAAAAATACATCGTCTCAATCCATGAAAATTGGTAAAATAAATGAATCCACATAGAGTAAATAAGGAGGGTATTCCCTCTTTTTTTTTCATCTTGAATATGCATGAAATAATTGCCACTGGACATTATGCGAGCAACAATCAACCAATACCTCAACTTTTTATTCTGTGAACCTAACTAGAATATCAAAAGAACCCAAAAAGCAAGTAATTATAAAGTCATACTTGGAAGGAGTTTAGTCAATTGGAACTCTAGTTTTAATGAAAGAGGTGTTGTCAACACATTTGCAGGGGACAAAAAAATGAGACTTGAACCTATATTGTTCTACATTTCATGACATCCATACAACACATTACAATGTCTTGGGAACAGAAAACTTACCTTTCTACCATCATACTTTTCTAAATTGATATTAACTTCCTGAGCCTCATTTCAATATTGTATTTATCATGCAGCATTATCATGAAATTGATGACTTACTTTTTTCTCATTGGACTGTTCTATAAGTTCATTGAGGTCATGAGCCTCATCTTCAAGTTTGTATGGATCGTGTTGCATTACTACACCATCTCCAATACTGTATAGGAAGAAGGCAGCAGAACTGGTACCTTCTATCAATAAATTTTCATTAATTTACATTAAAAAAAATATATGTCCATAGGACTCAACGCCGAGCTCGCATTTTCATTTCGCAATGTTCAGTTACGTTAACTATGGAATCTTCTTTAGGTCTTAACCATAGTTTGGCATATAATATTATTACAGACAAATGGAATAGCTGACTGGCTTAATAATTGATGACCACACAGACCAGAAAACATAATGAGCTGACTATCGTGGCCAGACCTAAAAACAGTTTTGAGTTGAGGAGCTCATATCAAGTGTTGGAGGTTCCATCTTCTGCAGAGTTAAACAAGATACAATAAAATTTGTTTTTGCTGACATCATGAGTTGATCGACCGTTATGGAATATCTGTTTCACAGATGACCATGGATATGTTCTAATATGTAACCAATATCCCATCATCGTTTCCTTGAATGTGACCTATCGAATTTGAATATCACTGAATTCGTAATTGTTAATTCAGAAAACTGTAAATTCAGTATTGCATACATTTTGCTAAGTCTTCAGTTTCTATGTTGCATTTTCTAGACTGTTGTTTGTCTTTTGGGTGTTTTTGTTTTTTTGCCTTAATATTGTCAGTTTGTTTTCGACTTCTGAGTTTGACTCTTAAGCCTCTCTTTTATGAGTAATAATTTGTGAGGCTATTTCAATAGACTTTATTTTTGTAAAGTGGAAAATAAATTCTTGGTTTTTTTTTCTATATCTGCGATTAAGATGCAATAGTGAAAAATAACCCTATCTATAGAGTTTTTTTTTTAAAGATTAGAAGCAGAGACTGGAAAAACATGAAACTTAATCCTTGCCAAAAGGTTTTACATCAGAAATTGTTAAATTTAATCTCATAAAAAATAAACCATTGTATAGCGGTACAACTGTATCCTCTAAATAGAACTAACATTGACATTTAAAATTCAAACTCTTCATCTATTCAGTTTGTTAAATACCTACCTGTCTTTATACACTGTGGACCCTGTGATTAATACCTACCTGTCTTTATACACTGTGGACCCTGTGATTAATACCTACCTGTCTTTATACACTGTGGACCCTGTGATTAATACCTACCTGTCTTTATGCACTGTGGACCCTGTGATTAATACCTACCTGTCTTTATACACTGTGGACCCTGTGATTAATACCTACCTGTCTTTATACACTGTGGACCCCACGACACAACATAAACAGTACGTTTGTGGTAGTTGGATGAAACACTCGGAGGCCTGTTTAATAAACAATAAAAAACATAAATGCCTTTACAAAAGTAATACTTGATGGACACACAGACCAAAAAAACATAATGAGCTGCTACTATCGTAGACAGGGCATTAAAACAGTTGTGTGGTCTGAAGTTAAGACCAACATCTTGAAACATTTTTAGGGACAAACTATTTGTTTTTGTGAAAAGACTGATAACATATTTGGGGATGACAATCTTTACAGCATTATATTTAGTGTGGTAATAGTTATCTCCCTTGATTAATTATCTGTTTGATGGCTCTATGATGTTAATAATCATATATGTTTTCAATTATCAACATAATACAAAAATTAGTGTATTTATGCATTGGGGACAGAGCTAGAGAAAATAAGCCTCTTTTACATATTGCTGCCAGAGTAAGGGCTATTCCATTAAAATATATGTGGGAGGGTAGGAAGGGACTTTCAAAATATCCCTTCAACCAAGAACCAGTTTTTAGATAATTTTGCATAATGGTAATAGACGCATACTGAAAAAAAGACCCATGACCCACATTCAATAATTAAACTTCCTTTCCTACCCTCCCACATACATTTTAATGGAATAGCCCTAAAAAGCTACAATTTCTGAAAACAATTTGTCTCTCCCTACTCAAGTACTATCAGTATTTTTATTTTCTAAATTTACAGATATTTATTGGTTGATGTAAATAAAAGAAGATATGGGATATATGTCAATCAAACAGTATCACAACAATAAAATGGCCAAAAGACATCTACAGGAGATTTCTCCTTCCAAAATTGTCATTACAGATTAGAAATATCATGATATATGGGAGATAACTCTGAAATTATTAACTTTCAAAATTTATGACTATATCCCATTAATTGTAATTGATAAATGTTATCATTGTTGTTTTGCTCACATTTAAATTCATGGCTATTCCAGAAAAAAAATCAAAGCACTGTAAGCGCTGTAGGCAGTTAACCAAAAACCAAGGCAAACATAATTATGAAAACTGTGGCTATGTTGCTTCATTTTTTTTAAGATTTAAAAGAACAAACATTAAACATTCATATATTGTGCATTTATGTTCATTTAATGAATTAATTATTAAGGCAAATAATTCATATTTTATCAAGGTTTTCCAAAGCAACGCATATATCAAGTATATTTTTAATGGTCATGTGTCTGCAGTGGTACAAGTTCGAAATGATTGCAGTTGTTCTAGTTGATAGTTAACGTTGGTATTAGTTGACTGTTAGTAGTTCAAGTTGACTTAGTAGGAGCTTGTAATAGTATGCATGGACTTGCTTCCCTGGAAAGAAAACTGAGTTTGTGTTCTACAGTGCAAAACGTATGAGACACAAATCAGACAAATGTTTACTACTACGGGGATCAAAGGTGAGGTCTGACTGACCTGCCCATAGTAAATGTAAATAACCCCCGCCTTCACCCCAAGTCCATGATGTCTAAGTTTGGAATAAAATGACAAGTGATTATAATAAAGTTGGTCAAACATTCTTGGGCTTGAAAGATATGTTTTCTTTAAAATGAGCCATATTAAAATGAAATTTTTTATAGAACCAGAAATTATTCAAAATATAATTAAGGTAAATTCTTTAAACCTACTCATTTTTTGCATCAATAAAATTTTATGATATCACTTATTTATTTATTGTGTGTCTTGCTTGTAAATGTAAAAGTATATATGTAATTGTTAATGTATAATTGTTATCCTCTTGTAGCACCATACGTGTGCTTAAGTTTAAATAAATTGTCTTGTCTTGTCTTGGGATCTTGACCGTTTCCAAATTCTCAAACAGGAGGGGTGGGGTGACCGCAGGGACTCCCTCTATATTTCATTTGATTTATTATATTGTCCCATACATGAATATATTTGGTTTAGGGGTGGGGATCTCGACCATTTCAAAGTTCCCAAACAGGAGGGTTGGGGTGACCCCAGGGACTCCCCTGTATTTCATTTGATTAGTTATATTGTCCCATACATGAATATATATGGTTTAGGGGTGGGGATCTCGACTGTTTCCAAGTTCTCAAACAGGAGGGGTGGGGTAACCCTAGGGACTTCCCCCTATATTTCATTTGATTAGTTATATAGTCCCATACATGAATATATATGGTTTAGGGGTGGGGATCTCATCCGTTTCAAAGTTATCAAACAGGAGGGGGTAGAGTGACCCAAAGGATTCCACCTATATATCATATGATTTGCTTACATTCAGGTATCATATAATCTAGTTGCACTATTTGTGAAAACAAAGTAAGAAACTTCCAGCTATTTTAACTGACCCTTCAAAATTGAGAAAAAAATTGCAGTAATATGTTTACACTTTAAAAGCATCTTACATGCATTATCAACATTTATCACTGATAAAGAAGATTTATACTGTCACCAGGAGAACATATATATTGTTAGATATACTGTTCCCAGCTGTCACATTGTATTGGATTTTGACATTAAAATTTGTCAGAAAGTAATTTTGAGTTTCTGTATCAAATATTTTTTGCTTTTTCTTTCTTTTACATATATCTTTTGGTTTCCATTTCTAGTGTTTATATTTATTTACCATGCATAGATGTATTTTGTCACCTGCCTGAAATTTTTTTTTTGTAGTTGATCTCCAAACCCGGAATTACCCTTATCCGCTTCCGGAATCGGACCCGATATTGTAATTGTCTACACGGCATCCATAGTTTTTCAATGTTGTTTTTGTCAGTCAGATACGATTTTACTCGAATTTACACATTACTTGTCGGCGATTATCTGTATAAAGCTAGCGGTTGAACAAAATGAACATCGCTGTCATGAATAATAAAGATGAAAATACGTTTTGAGATCGTTTATTTAGAGACTTTGGTAAAAAGGTTTGCAAAGTTATTTTTAATTTCTTTCAAGTGAAAGGTCCGTCGGGCGTAGCTAGTAACCAAGTCGAGAGTCCGATTACAAAAGTGGAAGGTCGCGGACCTCGGACCACCGCTAATTTGAACCCCTGCCTCCAAATTGAAAAGATACGAAAATTTCGTCTTCTAATTTGAAATTGCCGCCAACAGCATGAACAGTTGAACTTATTAATAGACTACTGACGTAGTTGTACCACGTATTGACGACAAACAATATTCCTACGACTTTTGCCATTTGGGAAATCTAAACTACTTGTCCTTAAAGATTTTCGGCGATTAAATATTTCATACAATTGTTCTTTGACATCTTAGCCAAAAGCACAGGGGATAATAAACTACATAAGGATTCCTAATGTGCTCTACTTCCTATGTGCAACTTCAAAACTTTTGGGTGGTTCGACGATCATTTAAGGTTTTTTCTGGTCATATTTTTGTAATCCAGAATTAAAAGTATGAAAAAACTATTCAATTAGTTATAAATAACATTATATCCAGCTAGATAATAACAATGGCACGTATTTCAGCATTTATTGGGTAGAACACAAATCTAGGGTGCTCGCATAAGGCAGCTTAACTGCCTAATAATTAAGGGAGGGCTGAAAGTCACTTCATAATAATTTGGGGTCGAGGGATACGGAGAAACCTTCCCATTAAATTGCTGATTTCTCCTTAAAACCTGTATTTGTTTTGGGCCTTGAAATAAAATGCCTTTCACTTGTCCAATATATGTTTTTCTGCAATAGCCCTCATTCTTTTTACTGTTTGAATAACATACATTTACTTGGTACAACTAACATACATTTATCTTATTTCTACCACAATGTCATATTTGCGACCTTCACCTTTAACCTTCATCAGTAGCATTTTTTAAAAGCACCTGACAAGGGAAAACATTGCATGTACATCTCTTTTTTTTTCTGAGGCACTGTGCATTCATTTTTATTCATGGGATACCAATGTTCTTGGGTAAAGGTAAACTACTAAGAAATAGGCCCGGTAAGACCCCTTTTTGGCCCCAAAATATAGCGTTTTTACAAAGTTGTTAAAATGTAAACTTTTAGCTATAAATTAGAAAGTAGAATACTTTTGTTACTTAAATATGTGCTGTTTTTAACAAAAATTCGTAAGGGTTCCACGGAACCCAGTGTCTCGCCTACTTTTGCTGTTAATCGCAGACTCAACAAAAATGAGGAAAAAAATTAATAAAAATATTCCTCTCTATACTATCTTTTGATTGTAAGTAGCTTCTGTCCAATTTTGGTAAAAATTCAGGATAGTATATGAATCTAATAAATGTTTAAAAAATTTAAACTGCAGACTGTATGTAATGTTAACTGGAAGAAAAACTAAGTCCATTTATAAGTAAAATACAGAAAAAATGGAATTAAATTTTAACAAAATTTCCTTCTTGATCATAAACAAGCTTCTGTCCATGTTTGGTACAAATCCAGGATAGTTTAAGAAAGTTGTTAAAATTTCAAAAACTTTAACCACAGAGTGAATGTAATGTTTCCTGGCAGAAAAACTAAGTCCATTTATAAGTAAAATACGAAAAAATGGAATTTTTTTTTGCAAAATTTACTTCTGGATACTATCTTATAATCATAAACAAGCTTCTTTCCAAGTTTGGTAGAAATCCAGGATAGTTTAAGAAAGTTATTAAAATTTCAAAAACTTTAACCACAGAGTGAATGTAATGTTTCCTGGCAGAAAAACTAAGTCCATTTATAAGTAAAATACGGAAAAAATGGAATTTTTTTTTTGCAAAATTTACTTCTGGATACTATCTTATGATCATAAACAAGCTTCTGTCCAAGTTTGGTAGAAATCCAGGATAGTTTAAGAAAGTTATTAAAATTTCAATAAAATGCTCCGCAGGGCGCAGCTTGATACGACCGCAGAGGTCTAACCCTGAACAGTTGGGGCAAGTATGGACACAACATTCAAGCTTGATACAGCTCTGAATTTGGATTGTGATTAAATATTTGACTTAGCATAGGTTTCTGACACAGAATGAATGTGGTCTAAGAACTTAAAAATTTTAAATTGGACATTCACCTATTATGGTCCAATATCCAAAATCTAAATACATGGTTA